ATTTTAAATGAAAAGGAGGATAACTTTTACTACATTTCTTCATAAAAATAGATAACTACTACTAGTTTCAATATCAGAAAATGCTTGTTTCCATTGATTAAATGCAGGTTGTTATTGTTACTTAATGACCTTATTGCTTTTAGATTTCTTTGGATCAAAGGTTGCATTTGGATTTATGCCTGTTCAGATTTCTTTGGACCAGAAGTAACATTTGGGCTTAAAGCTTGTTCTGTGTGTTAACATAATTAGGGACATTTGTTGAAGGTCCATAGTGTTCCCCAGGTGGTGTGGAACTTGGAGAAGTGCTGGGAACTACAAGGATACCTGTTCTCAGAGACCATAGACTACTAAGAAACATGGTAGTGGTGGTGGGGGGAGACTTTCTCCCTTAAAATGGATAGTTATTCCAAATTAACATAAAAGCATAAACACTATTGTTTTGTCTTAATAGAAATAGTTAAGTATATGGGCCATAACATATTTAAATGTCTGAGAAATGGAAAATTTGCCTTAAACCTTTAATTTGGAGAATTTAGTTAAGTTTTGCCTTACTACATTGAAAAAGAGAGATGACACATGGAGCCTGTTTTACAGGTTACAAGCTACTGCGTTTTCTGTTGTTGACATAAATAATTTGAACATATTTGAGGGCTTTGGCAAAAAAGAACTTTTCTCCCTAAGTTGCTTTAAGAATAAGTTCTGTCTACAATCCAAAGTGAAATTAAGTTGGATATCAAAAGAAAATCAGTGACAGAATGTCATTGATATTCCTCAAAGCAGAAGGCTGGGAAGAGGTGACATTGGCGAGGGCCTTTGATATGGAGGTAGAAGACACCTTTTTTATGTAAGTCATTCTTTTCCATCTCTTGCCTCCTGCCACCATAAACATTCTGTTGTGACCATAGGAGCCTCTGTCTATCTGCCTCCAAGTTGTGGAGGTCTCAGGGAAGCCCCAATCCAGCAGAGCCTGCAGCAAGATTGGGTGGCAGAGCCCAGTGTGATCACTCAGAGCCCCTTCCTGACCCATCTCAGCAGTTGGACATGGTTCACCTTCAAGCATCATTGGGGCAGGGAGGAGGAGAAAAGGGAGATTCTGCATAGATTTAATAAAACATTCCTGAGACTCTTGGAAATAGTAAAACTATTAAAGACATGACTACAGAGGGATGAGAATGTAAAATATAGGCCACCTCTGAATTGGAGGCTGAATTTCAAGAGAGACAACATAGTATGAAAGAGATTATGGGCTTGAGAATTATCCTGACTCGCCTCTCCCTTAATAGCTGAGGACTGTAGGCAAGTTTATTTAAATTCTCTCTCCCTTTCTTCTCATCTGTGAAATGAGAGGTTTTATTAGTTTCCCACCTTATTTATTTAATAATTAGTTAAATTTATATATGTATAAAAATTTGTATAAAGCCTTTAGAGTCTTAGCGTGTAGTTATGCCATATGTCAGCTATTTTATTTTTAATACTTTGTTCATCACTTAGCTCCAAGTGGGCTGGAATGGGACCCCCCATTCCTTCTTGCAGTATTTGGACTTAAGGTTGCATTCAGTTCTTAGGGACAAGTGAGATTAGTGCCCTAGACAAGACTTATACTCAATGTCCCTTTTTAGAATTCTGCTTTCTTTGTATACCTATTCTCTGTTCTTTGACAAGCACCATCTGTGACATTTATCTGAAAATGAACCTTGGTTAACCCTATATTTTCCTTACCTTGCCATTAGTCTTTCTCCTAAGCCTTTCCTCCCCTTTCATGTTACAACAATGGAGGTACCTGGACTGGTCCTGGAATATTGAAGAATCTGAGGAAGAAAACTAGTTCTTATCCTTTTGAAACCCTGAGATAATCCTGGAATGATAACAGAGCATATCTCTATTCAGACCATTCATAAATGATCCGAAGTAACTCAAAATCCTAGGGAAAAAGAAGGGTTGCTATGTCTCCTTGCTGCCTTGTGTCTTTTCCATTTGAAAGGTCAGGACCAGGAGTTGTTGGTACTGCTCAGAGCAATTTGTTTAGATTCTTTGATGTTAGCCTGGGGACTCTTCGGTCCAATCTCATCAGGGGTTGATACCAAGGAACTGGGAGGTATAGGTTTTCCATCATGTGCATGTTGTGAAGCTTGTTACACTGTGGGATAGTTTTTTTGAACATTCAGTAGCCTGGGCATGGAATCAACCTAAAGGCCCATCAGTGGATGAATATATAAAGTAAGTGTAGTATATATGCACACTGGAATATTTGCTATTCAGTCTTCAATCTAGACTGAAGATTTTGACAGTGAATCATGAAGCCATAATTATTTTCTATCTCAACTTTTCTATTTTCACCTGCCATTTAATGTTCCAATAATGTTATCTTTAATATTTTTGTCAGTTAAATCTTTTCTTCCTTTCCCTTTCCTCCCCCTCCATCCCTCCCTTTCACTCCCTATCCCCCTTCCCTCCTTCCCTGAGTAGCAATTGAATTTAGTAGCTCCCAAAGGGACATAGAAAAGGAATTAGTTGAAACAATCTCTTTGTTAATTTTTTAAAATAATTTTTAATTTTTAAAAATGATTGATGCAGGGGTTGGAAAAAAGAAAACAAAACACCCAAGACTTTTCAGAATTTTTCTAACAAAGAATTACAAAACAAAACTAAGCGCAGTTTGCAGAGGGTTTAAAAACATACATCCTCCTAAATGTGCCTAAATACAAATAGGTGTAAAAGGCAGTGTTGCTAGAAATCATTAAACAGGTAAGTAAATTTTAACTAATCAATATGATACTTGTGATAGCTAGCTTGTTATTCCTGTGGCCAAAATACCTGACAAAAATAACTTAAAAGAGAAAAGATTTGTTTTGACTCGTGGTTTAAGAGTTCAGTCCTTGTTGGTTGACTTGTGTAGTTTCCCATGGCTTCCAGGAGTCTGTTCAGCTATCAGTGAATTAATGCACCAATGAGATGAGAGACCTCAGGGATCCAATTGTTTCCTGAAAACTCTGCATCTGAATATTGCTACCTTGGGGACCAAGCCTTCAGCACATGAGTCTTTGGGTGACACTTTGTGTCCAAACCATAGCAATATCCTTTAATATAATTGTTGCAGTGAAGGATTTGACTTGAATATTCTTTAGAATTTTTTTTTATTGTAGAAATGACTTGTTTCTTTTTCCTTTACTTGGAAATATATTAACTTTGAAATTAGCTTACATTGCCTTAAGGCACGGACAAAAGTTATTTTATTCTCTAATTTGTAATTAATAGTGGTGTGTGTGTACGTGCGTGCGCAGGCACGTTAGGAAGTGCCAATTAAATAGAAAAGATGTGAATCAAAATCAGTATAGTAGGCCTCTGGGTATTCAAATGTTTCATCATTAATGGGATGATAAATAACACTGTGAATTAAATTATTACATGTATTTTATTGGTTAGAATCCCATTGAAAGTTCTCACTTAAATTTATTTTCCCTTACTTTCTCAAAGGACAGAATTTTTGCTAAGATTCTTTAAAAAGAAGACTCCAAAAATATATATGCTATCTGCATCCATTCTTTAACTTTGAAATTAAATGTCTACATAACGGATAGCGCTATGTTTTATTTTAAATGTAATTTTCGTTTTCTTTATTTCTTTTTTTGGTATTCTTAAGGAAAAATAGTTTGTGAAAATAGTGGAAAAATTAGCCAGAAAGGTAGCATTTAAACATCCTTGGAAGGTCAGCAAAGAAAAATACGTTTTAAATAAAATGAATCTTATTGGACAAGGAAGAAACCTAATTAGGAAATATAAAGTTATACTTTACAGGTTCATAATCATTAGGCTTTATAATCAGTTGTAACTGTATTAAGCTATATGCAACAACAAAAAATCAATCATCCATTATAAATATTTAGAGGTCAGCAATTTTTTTTATAAGTTTAAACTTTGAAAAGGACCTGTTTACACAGAAAGACAGCAAGAACTATAGGACTCTCCTACAAAAGAGAGAGCAGAGCCAGCCCAGCTCACTCCCCAAGTCCCATCTGCCCCTCTGTTTGACTTTCAGCCAGGTAGAAGATTGAAAATGTAGCACTGACAATTGCCCTACTTTTCCATGTTTTATACCCAAAGCTTGACCTGAAGCAGCATGAGGCTTTCTTTTCTCCTTCTCTCCTCACCTCCTCTATATTTCTGCTGTCCCCTTTAATCTTAGCTTTGATGATTATCAATGAGCCAGAAGTATAACTGAATAAGGTCAGATTTTATTAATCTTACTATTTGGGATATTATACTATTGTTTTACAAATGGTAGCACTGGCAGAAACAATATAAAGATGCAAGGAGTCTATTATTGCTTAACCACTGCATTTGATTCTATGATCCTATCAAATTTTGAATGAAAAAATAATGAACGGGTCCGTTTTAAAGAAACAAAACAACAAATGGAACAACTTCAACCAGAGGGTTAGGCATCATATTAAAATGACCTTAGTGAAATTTTATTACTCTTATTTTATCCAAGTACCGAATAGCATGAAAAATAGCTCAGCTGTTAACTATGTAGCAGCATTAAAAAATAAATGTATGTTAAGAAAAATCAATGCTAGTTCAGATAATTCAAAGCTGAAAAGTGACACAAATCTATCATTCAGGTGTTGTAAAGAATTGTTTGAAGGAGGAGTGGAAGTGGAAGAGATAGTAAAGTGCCAATTGTCTGTGCAAGAAGGGGTGGTGGCTTGGATGGGATTGGTGACAGTATTGAGGGAAATATATTAAGTACTGATTTATTTCAAGCTGCTCATTAGAGCTTCTGTTGCTAACTTCTTTCTCAGATTGCCCCTTTGTCCTTTCAGTTTTACTTACCATCTAACCTGCATGGAGAAGAAGAGAAAGAAAAGAGAAAAACTTGAATTCTGTCTTCCCCATTACTGCTGCTTGATCTGCTAGGCTGCATAACAGTGGGGGCTTTGTAGCAGTGTGACATGAACAGTGGTAGATCTGGAGAGCAAGCCCAGCACTTTGCCTGGGCCAGGCAACTCGGCTCTTCCATGCATAAGATGCGGTAACAACACTTTCCTCCAAGCACAGTTGGGGAACTAAACGACATGAGGTGTATTGAGTGCTAGTATTTAGTGCTAGCATTGAGTGCTAGGTGCATTGTGCTCAACTAGAATGAAGTAGGTTTTGTGACAATATTACGGAAGTCTCCAGGCCCTCCGCCTGAGTGTTTCTAGTGGATGTCACTAAGGATAAAACCTCAGGGTGATTATTTCATGCCTTAGTTTCTTCATTTGTAAAATAAGATATCTGGCCTGCACCCACAGTTTTCAGTTTAGGTTTATGGAGCTCCCTGGGTCCACTGTTCACCTTCATCCTTCCACCCTTTCCACCGAGTCTAAAACTGCTAGTTCTGTTTTCCTGTTGTGCTGAAACTTCCTCATGTAATGTCTTTGGAGCAAAATGATGTTTGGCAACAAAAGAAATTGGAAAGCTCTATAGGTGATCTTTAAAGGATCATTTCAATCTAAAGCACTGGGAATATTCTTTATTAATTTGTAAACTCAAATTATATCTTTTAAGTTTGACCCTTCCTATTTATTTATTGGTTTAGAAAAGAAGCATGTACTAACAGTGAAACTAGCAAATGTTCATATTTAAATCCCAGAATATTGCTTTTGTTGTGTAGCAGCATTCTCAGAAGATTATTTATTTCCAAAGGACTCGATTGAGAGGAAGAAGCAGGCCTCAGTCTGAAACAAGTCTAAACTTTTTATAAATGAAAAGCCTGAAGTGAATTTTCAAAAATACTTGATCTGAGTTATATTCGGAGTATGTAGTTGAAAATAGGAACTTATGGGTGGTATTTAAGTGTAGCTATAAAAAGAGCATCAACTGTTGCCTAGAGTAGGTGAGCTCTCTCCAGAGAAGGTCATGGAAACCTGGTAGCAACAGTATCTATGGAGGAAAGGGCTCGATGCTTATCCTAGTGTAAGCAGGAGAGCCTTTGAAGAGAAAAGCTATGTTAGCAAGCTTTATAAGAGGAAAGCTTTAAAGGTTCTGGCTTAAAATATGGACTCTTGCTGTCTTTTTTTCAGGAAAGCAAATCAAGCTGAGTTATGTGATAAAAGGCACATGGCGCGGTTCTGCCTCTGCCTTCCCCATGGAGGTCTGGAAGCGTGCTCTTGCTTTCAGGCACGCGATCATCACCGGCAGAATAATGATGCTGTCTTTGCTGTGGTTTAGACCTTGAATGAAAAATGGTGACGATAATGAGGGTAATACTTTGAAGTAGCTGAAGATCCACAAATCATGTTCGTGTTTAAAAAAACCCCCCAAACCAGAAATCTCTCCAAAGAAGTCTGTTAGAACGTTTTGACAGAACAGATGCTGCTTAAAGAGTACAAACAGATTTTTAACCAAAAAGAAAAAAAGGAAAAAAGTTTTGAGTGGGGGTGGGTAGTAATCGTTAAGGGTACTGTAATGGAATATTAATGATTCCCAGACATTCTATTTTTTATGTCATCATGAAGAAGTGCTACAGGATTGCATATTCAGATGAATCCGTAGAATTTTGAATGTTTGTATGTTTGGAGTTTTTTAAATAGCACAATCCATCACAATTGGTACTGCTATGGCTAAAGCATGAAGGGAGTATAATTGGTACAATTTTAACTGGTTACATAGTGACTTTAACTATCTTCTTTTTTTGCTCATGATGTACTAGAGGGGACTGGGAGTTTCCTTAGGAGTGATGTTCTTTCAACAGGTCTGGGATCCAAGGGTTAATGGGCTATCATGGCAGTTATGTTGTCCTAAATGTGGATTCCATTAAGGAACAGAGGAACATTTTTAACTTGAAGTGTTTGTAGCTGGTAGCTTTATAGCTAAAGTATCTCATAAAGGAAGACAGTGTGTTTTGTGATTGTAGTTATACTTCACTATGTAAAGATCAGTTGTGTGAAAATGACTCAAAAAGGTAAAAATGAGCAAAAAGCAAAATAAAAGTGAAATAAAAATAAATAGCTAGAATAGGTGGCTGTTAGAGTATGTGTCATTAACCTCACATTTTAACTTAAACCCTCATTTAGTGCCTTATTTAATAATAATCAGTTTTTTTGGCCTTCATCTCTTTGGCATATTGTAAACTATGCATGTGTAGACACAGGTCAGTGTCAGTATCATGCAGCAGCTGTTTGACACTGGGGATGGGACAGGTCACTAGGCTCTGGCTGTCTTGCAGCCAGCTCTTCATTGACAGCCACTCCAATGAATTTTTCTTTCTTCCATTTTTTTTCCCTTTGTATGGGGGATTGATAAATCATTGAGCAACAACATCCCCAGCCCTTTAATTTTTACTTTGACACAGGGCCTTCCTAAATTGCTGAGGCTGACTTTGAGCTCATGATCCTCCTGCCCCATCCTCCTGAGTTGCTGGGATTACGGGCATGTATCACTATGCCCCGCTTCAGTTAATTTTTCTAAAACAAAACACAGGCATTTAGGTTGTTTCAACTTGAAGCTGTTTTGAAGAAAGTTATTTTCTCAGTTTGACCGTGAGTTAGATGAATGAAGTTGCAGGCATTGTTGTTAGGTATGTGTTGGTAGCAGAAGTCATTTGATAATGAGGGGAAGAGAAAATAAACCTGAAGGGTAGGAGGTCTTTAAATGGAACAGCTGGAGCTATTCTGAGGCCAGGTGAGCGAGCCTAGAGTCCTAGTCCTAGTCCTCAGCTTCTCAGAGCTGCTGCATTACAGCTCAGCAGGGCAATGCAAGGTCTCAGTGAGTCATCAGAAATGTTACATTATGTTTACTTAGTTTGATTAAGGCAGTGTGAAAGAGATTTGGAGAGATTGCCAACAAAACTATTTTATACAGACTTTGGCATTTAAAGAAATTAGCTTCAATCAGAAAATACACTAATTAGAATAGTTCATTTCTCTACTCCAAACCATTCTTGAACTCCATTCTCTGTCAGTGTTAAATTTCTACTGTTATTACACTCCACCCTCTCCATCTGTGTATTCAACTAACCATGGATTAAAAATACCTGGGGAAAAAATTGCATGCATACTAAGTATGTATAGACTTTTTCCTTATTACCAAAACAATACAGCATAACAGTTATTTACATTGTATTAGGAATTGTAAGCCATCTAGAGAGGATTGAAAGTAAGCAAGGTTATGCATTAAATTATAGGCAAATACTATACCTTTGTATCTATAGGACCTGAACATCCTCAGATTTTCGTATCCATGAGAGTGGGGATTGGTTCCTGGAACCAATACCCAGTGGATTCCAAGGATTGGTTGCATTTTAAAGTTTTCATTTGATTTAGTTGTTTACGCTGCTGTCAAATTTTTTATAGATAACAGCATATTTCATTTTCCTGAAATATTGCTCACTTAGGAACACCCAAAGCCATATTTATCCACACTTTATGTGAAATTATTTGGGGGATAATGCAGATACATGAACCTTCCCCTTCACAGCATTACCATCTTATATCTGGTTGGAGGCATATGTATCTGCAGTTCTCCCCCATCACCTCCCAGATGAACCATTGAAAACAGTGCTGTGACCTTCACACTTTTTTCCCTGTAAAATGAAAGATGTCCATTTGTACACCATTGGAAAATTAAGTTCAGTACGTGCTTCTACGGAAAGTCACTTTCTAAGTCATGAAGTCACTTAATTCTAGGTATGGGTAAGTTGTTACTTTTCTCATTTTCTTTCTTTTACTCCCAGAAACGTAAATCAAAGGTAAATCTGTATACCCAAGTTACATTGAAGAGTTACTTGCATTTCAGGTTGTTAGTCATGGGTTATGGCTTAGGCAAAAAAGAAATCTTTGAATAGAGTTATGGATTTTGAGACCATATTAGTTTTGATTAGATGATGTTTCCTGTCACTTTTGTGAGATCTCCTTGCCTCTGTTCATGAAGGACAGACTGTCTTGTTGGTCATAGCACCCCATGAACCTATTATAGTTTATAGGACAAATGAGATGTTCAACAAATATTTGTTTAGGAATCAATTGTGTCATAAACACCGCAGCAGTGATTCTAACCATGAATAGCATATGGGAGCATTGTGTGAATAGTGAGACATTCTGTATGCAAAACTGGGTGTGTGTGTGTGTGTGTGTGTGTGTACCTAGATTTATCTGTGTTTTAAAGAGAGAAGATCCATATCTTTAATCAGATTTCTGAGTGATCTTTGTTTCTCCAGTTATAGATTGGACTTTTCCAGAGTGCAGACTTGTGCAATATTGTTTTGATTAAAACAAAGAAAACTTAGGAGAAAGGGTTATTCTTCAAAGCACACTGCTCACTCATGGAGGCCCTTCGGTGTGGTGTGCTGAGTTCAAGGGCGGGCAGCAGGGCCAGTCCTCACATAGCTCATAATTTGTTAGAGAATATATATTGGATGATTACACTCATTATGAAATACGTTCCTCAAAATTATGTACTAAATGTTTTTAGGTTTAGAAGGCATACTCAATAGATTTGCCGTGTGTTGGCAAAAGTCAGATGAAATTTACTAGGATTCATGAGTTCTTGCTTTGGTAAAAGCTGGGCTAAATGTACTGGGTAAAGCAAAGGTGAGTAAGACGTGAGTCTTGCCCTGAAGGATTTTTTAATCTATAATTGTAGTTTTCAATTCTGGCTTTACATTAAAATCATTTTCGGCAAGGGGAGATAAATAGGTAAAATGTTTTTACTCACATGGAAAATTATTAAAATGGTACATTTTGGAGAAAGATCTGGCCTTTTCTTGCAAAACTAAACATGCCCTGTGATTCCAGCAATTGAAGAGAAATGAAAACATATCTTACTGGAACAATCATAGCAGCTTTATTCTTTATATCCTCAAATTGAAAACAACTGAGATTCTCAACAGCAGGTATTGGAGAAAGGTGGTATGGTGTATCATGCAGGAGATGCCTACTCAACAGTGAAAAGGAATCAGTAGCTAATAACACGTCATAGGGAAAGCAGCCTTACACAGTGAATTTGTTACATGAAGTGTGAGGGTGCAAAACTAATATATGGTGGGGAAAAGATCAAAACAGTCGTTTACTCTGGGGATGTGAGGATGGGCATCTCCTGCGAATGGGCATGCAGGACCTCTCTGGTGATGCTAATGTTCATAAGTGGGAGGGGAAATATCACTGGGGAGATAAAAGCAAAAGCTTGATGTCTTCTGTCTTCTCACCCTTCACTTTCACCAATTTGTGATCTGCAGGAATGTAGCCTATAGGTATTTTTAAAAGTTCCTCAAGTATTCTGATGGTCATGAGATTTGAACTATTAAGTAGTATTATTAGTTCATTGGTTTTGTATTGCTATGATAACAAATTACCCTAAATTTAGTGGTGGCTTGAAACACCAAGGAGTTATTGTCTCATCATTCTGTAGGTATGAGGTTTGGCTTGGCTTGGCTTGGCTTGGCTGGCTTTTCTGTTCCAGGTTTCACAGCCTTGACTTAGGCTTAGGCAGGGCTGTATTTCTTTGGGAAGATTCTGAAGGCAATCCATTACCAAGTGCATGCAAGCTGTTTGCAGAATTCTGTTTCATTTGATCATAGGGCAGAGGTCCCCCTTTCTCGGTGGTCATTGGCCCAGAGGTTCTTCTCAGCTTCTGGAGATGGGCTCTGGTCCTCTTCTTCTGTCTTAGAAGCCAGCAATGGTGAACTGTCTGACTCCCGCCCCTTCCTGCCTCACTGCTCTCCTGGTCTTCTCTTGTGTGTGTAGCATATCCCAAGTGACTGTTCTGCCTTCCTCTTTGGTTTGAAGGGTGTATAGAGTTGCTTGCATGGATCTTACCTGGTTAATTGAGGGTGACCACCCTGTACTAAGGTTAGCTGATTTCCAACCTTAATTCCATTTGCCAAGTTCCCTCCTAGCAGTAAAGAGGTAAAAATTTGATGAAATAATCTTGGAGGCCAGCATCTGTAGATCTGCAGATAGTATAGAATTACATGTGAAATGCAGAGAGCTTTCAGAATAAAGAGAAATGTCTTCTAATTAGGGAGGTTTGGGAAAACCACCTTCAAGATGGCCACGTTCCCATGTCTTTAAAGTCAGTGCTGATGGATATGCTGTGGCACCAGAATGGGAGAGATTTGGGGGTGGGGGTGACAGTTTAAATGCCATTGAGGATAGAGAAAGGGTGACAGTGTGTGATGTACTGAGAACATCCCTTACCCATGAGCACACTCCTTGTGTGTTAATTATTATATACAGGCCATGGTAGCATAAAGTCAGACTTACCTAACATTAAAGTAGAAAAATAGGAATGTCAAAAAGTATATCATTCCATGAGCAAAAGTACCATTTTTAAAGGACTGGGGCAGTTTTATGATGTGACATTTTTGTGTGTGTGCCTTCTCCTGGACCGTTAGAACTGAGTAGAATTACATGTGAAAATCTAAAAGCTATTTCCACATTTTTAAGTTTCTCAAAATTCCAAATTTATAGATACAAATCAGGAAATGTGGACTTACATAAAATATACTCCTCTTTATATTGCCCCCTGGGAGTGGTCTCTGACCACCTTCTAGTGGACTTTGCTGCTTTGGAAGGTATAATAACATGGGGACAGACCTAGCTCATGTGGGGAGCTGCAGAGGTCATGTGGCTTCTCTCTAGTGTCTGCAAATTGTAGCCATATCACCATTGATTTTAATAGAAATTCCACATCAAGGAAGAACCTTTTTATTAGCATTACTTTGTGTCATCTATCTTCCTTTTTATCCAGTTTGTTTGTAAGCTTTTAAAAAGGATCATGTGTGTCTTTTTGTTTTGAAAGGCACACATCTATACCCCAAAAAAGTCACAGAATACTTCCTGCCAACCTTTTAAAACTACAAAGCAAACTGCCTGCGGCTGTTTGTATCCATCTTCTAAAGGGTATATACATTAGGGTTAAAATATTGAAACCAGCTCGGCTAGCTGGTGTTTTGTAGAAGCCTAATCTGAGAAACAGAATGGAGACAGGAAGATCCATGGCAGAAGGCCAAGGAGGTCTTTCACTTTCCTTTGGTGGTTCACGTTTTGCTCTTAAAATTTCTGGTGCATACTACATGTTTCATGGAGTTTCCAAGGCTGCCTTCACATCCCCTGGGTATTTGTTTTCCTTTCTTCCTTCACACCTTCCTCTCGAACCTGATGTATTGGACCTGGTGACCAAACCTGTCTTCCTCTGGCAAACCTTGGTGCAGAGTAAATTTCACAGTGGTTCCTTTGGGCACTTGGCTCCTGAAAAACACAATCCCTGTTCCTTCGCCATGAAGCCATCCTCTGCCTCCGTCTCATATTCAGAGACCTCAGGGCCTGTTTCGGATTCTTTCATTTTCCATTCATTTTTCACATCAACATGCCAAGGTGTGTCTTCTGGTAGCTTGAAATGGTGATTATTATTGTTTTTTTTTTATTCCTACGATGCTGCTGATTTTGAGGATGTATTTTTATGCCATTGTACCCTATCAATTACTCATATTTCTAGTTTCTTTAGGGAAAATTGATTTCAAAAAAATAAAACCAAACTTTGAGGAGCCCTTTTAGATAATTTCACATGCTGTGTTATAATATTTCATTTGTTTGTAATATTTAATTAAAAACTTACTATAAGGATTCTTCCTGTGTAACCTTCCAGATCATGGTGTCAGTTCTTCTACTGGTACTGACACACATTTTGTTGGAAAGCCCAAACTCCAACTTCCTTTTTAAACTTAGCATTAAGAAATGGAGATTTGAGGGAAATATCTGTATTTGGGAAGGCCTTTCAACCTTAAAATCATCAGATTTAGCTGGACATAGTGATGCATACCTATAAATCCCAGTGACAGGCTGAGGCAGGAGGATTGCAAGTTCAAAGCCAGCCTCACCAACTTAGATAGGCTCTAAGCAACTAGTGAGACCGTGTCTCAAATTAAGGGGAGGAAAAAAAGGCCAGGGATGAGGTTAAGTACCTCTGGATTCAATCTCTGGCATCCCCCCTCCCCAAATCAGCAGGTTTCTAAGCTTCACATTATTTTCTTTGAGCAAAAGGAGCACTTCTACTTAAAAACTGAAGCTACACGTGCATAGAGCATACACACACATGTGCACGTGTGGAGACTCATCCATGCTCAGGGGCGGTCCTTCCCCAAGTCCCTCTCTGAGTATGTCCTTCTGACTGATTTGCTGGAGGAAGTCAGTTTGTTGACTGGCCATTGTTGAGATACAACATGAACTTCATTGTAAATACAAGTAAAGTAATTTCTAATTCAGTGAAGTGGAAGGAAAAAAACAGCGTAAGCAGTTTTCAAGAGTAATATTTTTAACTGGACACTGTGGCTGAAGATAACACTGCAGATGCACCATGAACACTACAGACGCACCGTGCTTTCTCCCTGAGAGTGAAGGCTGGCACGACCCTGGGACACTGAAGTGCAGTTGCCATTTCTAGCATGAGCTCAAGTCTTAATGCACAGGTAGACACAGATATAGAGGGGGGTGCACATGTGGGCTAGTATTTCCTGGTTCTTCCTGTTAAGAGAACTTAGAAGCAATGACACCTCAGTAACAATTACCAACTTAGTATATAGACCTTGTTTTCTAAGTATTGTTAGAAAAAGGAGCCGAGACTCCTTGGAGAAGGTCTAGTGCTGGAGCAGGGAAAATGCAAGATGAGTCTAGAACATCTTGTGTTGCCAAAAAGAAAGGGACTGCCCATAGAAGGAGATAGGGCTGCCAAAAGATCAACCTGGAGGAGAGCCTAATAACCAAAGATGGAACAGTTTGAGCAAGAAAATGATATAGTATTAGATTATACCCACAGAATTAAATAAATGTCCATTGAATAAGTAAATGGGGGAATTGGGAACTTCTTATTGCAGAAGAATTTTAATAAATGCAAAAAGAAAAAATACTGCTATATTAGGCAAATACCACAGCAATTATTTTTGCACATAAGGTCCATTGATTGGTGCCAAAATTAGTGGGTGAAAGTTTGAGGAGAAACAGGATGGTTGCATAGTCTGAAAGTATCTCTCTACTCAGATACTTAATTACGAGAGGAGAAATGGTAACTTTACCTGTGGGCATCCATCTTAATGGAGCAGTCAAGGTTACCATAATCAGCAATGAGATCTGGACCCCAGGAAGCATTTGGAGAGGCTCCTCTTAGTATCCTTTCCCAAAATGTCTTGATTCAGAAAATGTCACCCAAACCCAAATTGGGCTATGTTATACAGAATAACTGGCCATTCCTCTTGAGAAATATTAAAGTTCTGAAACAGCAAAATGGTAGTAGTGGGAAAATTAGTGAAATATGAGTGCAGTCTGTTGTTGAGTACTGGGCCAGTGTTAATGTGTTGGTTTGGGTGATTATGGTTATGCAAGATGTTGATATTGGGGAGGCTGGCTGAAGGTGGACTTCAGTACTCCTTGTACAACTTTAGTAAGTCTGAAATTATTTAAAAAGAAAAAGATGCTAGTTATGTGTACAAATATGTGTACAAGGAAATTAATTGTAGCATTGTTTGCAATAGCAAAAAACAGTAATGCAGATGTCTGTCCGTGAAGGTTAGGTATACCTTATTCACATAATTGACATAGCTGCAAAAAAGACCACACACAGTTACATGTGCTGCTGCTTATATTCTAGTGAAGACAAAGGTTTAGGAGCGCACAGTCTCTGTTCAGGGTGCTTGTGTTCTAAAACCATCCCTAATACTTAATAATGAACTCTATGACCTGGGGGAAAATTATTCCTCTTCCCTCTGTTCATCAGTTTCCTCATCTGTAAATTGGGAATAGAATCCACTTCAGGGTTGTTTATGGACGTTAATGTGAAAATCCATGTGAAGCCCTGAGGGTTAATACTTATCACATAATAAATACTTGATAACAAATTTTTGTACTCAGATCATTTTAAGGGAATAAGTGCGGGAAAATAATGCAAGATTGATTATAGAATGATCCCATTTGTTAAAAGTCATGTGTAAATCTGGAAGAGTAGACACTAATGTATTAAATCTCGTGTTGGGGATGCTGCAGATTAGGTAATGTGTACTTTGTAAATAAAACATTTAAAAATGTATATTCCAAAAAGTATGCAGTTAGAGAAATATACAGAGAAACGTTTAAAAGAAGCTTACTATCAGTATTTATTAAATAAAAATAACTAATGAAAACTGTCTCTGTCAGGCTAAAGGCACTGGCTAGTCTCCAAGGTCATTGACTTGCCTGTCACAGTGGAAGGCCCGAGAAACCCCGCTCTGCTCTCAGCCATCCCTAATACTTAAGAGTGAACTCTATGACCTGGGGGAAAATTATAGATTATCATTCTATAATCAATCTTGCATTATTTTCCCACTTAAAACTGGTGGATACTTCCAATTCTTCAGAACATGGGACTTGACTTAGAAAATTGACTTAATGCTCCGGAGTGTAATTGTGGGTTGTGAGAGGTTATCGCCAGGATGGGTGCCATCTGCTCTTTGTCTTGATGGGAAATAAACCCCAAAGCCTAAATTGTAGAATTTGCCCAGAAATAAATAATACTGGTGATTTTCCATTGAATGGTTAAAACATGGAGTAGAGCACCAAAACGGTGCTGTGTCTGTGAGGCTGAGGCTAGAGAGGCTCCGACGTCCAATGCTGCTGGCCTGTGAGGTGCTGACAGCTACGGAGGTCCAGGGAAGCCAGACTGCTGGATTTCCTTCAAAGGCTGTATGTATTACCACACTACACACAGGAATACATGGAAATAGCTCTGTAAGTAACAGTGTATATTTTCAAAGAATGTGCTTATAGTTTGGCTGTGACTAATCAACTTTTTTTTATTATAAAGGCCTCCACCCCCCACCATGCTTGTGTCAAAACCTGTATTTTGATGTTATAATGCTATGGTCCTTTGTCTGGCCACTCTGACTTAAGTGGATACAGATCTGTGCAGCAGATTAAGGTCCATCTATCTTTGTGGGTTTTGGCTATATTAGGTTTCCTTTAAAAACTGACACATAATAATTGTAGATATTTATGGAATAGCAGGTGGTATTTTGATAGACGTAGACGTTGTATAATGCTCAAATTAGGACATGCTAGGTTTCTACAAGGACCACAGTGTGGACCTGGATGAAACTAAGATGAAAAAGAAATGTATGTCAAGGATGTAGGAAGACCATCCCAAGGAATTAGAATAAAATGTAAAATGCTCTTTTCTCTTGCTTTTGTGATTTGTTTACATATCTTCCCTATTGTAATCCTTTCAAATCTGAATCACCAAAGCTTTCCAAGGAAAAAAGTGAAAATGTTGAAAGCATTATTTTCCTCATTTGACTCATGGTAGTGTTTTTACACACGTTTCATCCTAGATTCCTTAAACATTTTTGTTGAAATGTGCAGCACTGGTTGACCTGCTGTTAAAATCATGTAGATCTCACTCAGGTTCTTTTGTCCTCGGGGCCCTCTCCGCCTTTTTCCCTGTGTGCAGTCGTCACTATTCTGTAGGTATAGTGGATGACACAACATTTTTCTTTTTCAATAAAACCAGATGCAGTGCACTGAGGCCCATATTGTCATATTACAGTCTCTGGAGAGCTCGAGGTAGGGAGGAAGGCATCCCACAATGCAGTATTAATGCCGCTGATACTGCTGGAGAGTCCAAGGGTTGAGCTTTAGGATGTGCTGATGTAATGTGGCTATAGCCAGCATGCAAGTAGAGGCGGGTATAGATGAATAGTGTTCCTACAGTATGTGTGGGTTGGTGGGGTTCTCCATATTTCCCAAATATTTTGATTTTTTAAATTTTAACATTTGAATATTGAATAAAATTGAGTAGGTGCTGCTCACATGAGCTATTGAGTTGGGATCATGATAGAAATAAGCTCTAGAGTAAGAACAGTGGACTCTTACAGTCATGTTATTTGGCTAGAGTTCTGTCCCTGACACCTATGCCTTTGTGATACTGGGCAAAGTCATGAAGCTCCTTTCTGCACATGGAGGTGACATTACTTCCATAAGCACTTTGTTATGACACATCTTTGACAGCTGTAAGGATTAATTGAGGTTTACATATATGGAATGTGTGGCACATCCTCTGGCCTATAATCCACCCCTATAAGTGACCTTTGTCCCTTTCCCCCACCCTACTTTATCTGATCTATATCCTAGTGAATATCTTACTTTCTGAGACTTAAAAACCAGACAACAGACACTATTATGTCATCCCGCTGAATATTTGGGTCTGAAAATCTTTGTTCCCTTTATTCCTTCATTCCTTGTTGACTCTGTGCCAGGACATCTTTCTGGAGGGGTAGTAAGCCTTTTGCTTTCAGGAGGCGCCCAAGTGAATTCACACTCAGGAGTGCCAGGATACACTGGGAGAGCCCTGAAGTGCCAACGCTGAGCTTCAAACAGCTGGAAGATGTGGGTGGGTGAAAGCCGGCTCCGCAGAGGCAGTGCTCAAGTGAAGCTGGGGAGGACAGGAAGCACAGTGGCAGGGGCAGAGGGAATAATTCGTTCACTTGGACGTAAGGATGGCTGAGAGGGGATGTTTGGATGACTTCTAGGATTCAGGTGCCTGTTTAGGGCCGTTTTTGTGATAATAGAAATGTAATAGTACTTTTATTGGAAGTGGAGGTAATATAAAGGTTATCTAGATAGGCTGGTATCCCGAAATTCTTAGAAGAGGAAACCGAGGAGCTACTGAGAGTAGGCTCAAAGAGGGGTAGAGACTTTTTTCAAGGCCAATCACACTTGCCCTGCTGCAACAGTAGTACCATGAATTAACTGCCAAAAAGCCCATAGAAAATGGGACTTAAGGGCATGATGTATTCTCCTGGAGAACTTTACAAATGAAACACCAAGCCTTTTTTTTTTCCCCCTCATAGCTAGAGAAGGTCATTGCAAGCTGTCAGAATTGACAAGGGGAAGTGAAGTGGAAAAGAAAGGGATGGAGCTGAGGTCAGATTCTGAGGAGAGAAGCAGTAGGCTGCCAAAATTTGGCGCTAGTAAAAACAGTGTGGGGGCGATCCAGGCCCACACAGCAGGCGCTGTCAACGTGGAGCCAGTGTCAGTGTCCGGTTCTGCAGGCCATTTGCAGAACAGAGGACAGGGAGCGGTGCCATGCTGTATCGATGTGGAGCTGGTCCAGGGACACTCTGGACAGCAGAAGTTGAGGTAGCCCAGGGCCTCCCAGAGGCTGGCCTGCCTTCTCTTCAGCCTTCAGCTGATGGCTCACCTCTTGCAGTCTTCTTCCTAAGAGTTTCTTCATGAACAAGAAAGAAAGCAACCAAAAGTTATCCTGGATCTGATGTTAAATTATTGGTGATCTCTTGAAATTTCTTTTGGACATAATTGATTTTCTAAAGCTAACTAGTAACGTTTTCATCTAGTTCTTTATATTTTTAAAAAATATCTGGTTTAAATGGATAAAAACAAGTACTGTGCTCGATGTTAGCCAAAAGACCAAGTAAATTTCAAATGTTCTCACCATAATAAATCAGTGTTAATTAGCTTGATTTAATTATTCCACATTGTGATGTAACAAATATGTACAATTTTAAATTGTCAATATGCAATAAAATTTAAAGACTTGGTTTATTTTTTTTAATTGCTAAAAAAAGGACAAGACTCATCACCTTATTTTAATAGTGAAAAATACTGTATGTGGACCTATTATTTCTAGATCACCAAAAACATAAAAAGAGGAATTAAAAAAATAGATTTGAAAGTATATAATCCCCTCCTTCATTTTCAACCCTATAATAAAACACAGATGTTTTAGAATACTTTATGGTTCACTGTTTATTTACATTTGATCTTTTTCAGGTTTGCCTGGCCCTTTGTTTCTTTAAATACCCTTGGTATTTCAGCAACGAGTCTATAACTAATAATTAAGCATAGGAACACCCACTTTTTTTCTTATACTCTTCTGCAGTCTTTATTTCTTATGAGCACATCATATGCCTTCTTGTTACCAATTATAGCTAGATATTCCAGTCTGATTTAATTCCTTAATTGCTTAATCTTCTCTCTTTCTTAAAGATATTTATCACTAAATTTTTATCCATTTGACTTTTTCCTACTTTGCCTTCCAAAATGAGTTCTGAATCATAAATATTTATTAATTCAACCACTATTAGTCCTAGTTGTTCTGAACAAATGATACCTAAATGCCTAGGGTTTGTCTTAAAGAGGAGGAGGGAGATCTTTAGTTTTTTGTCTTGAAAAAATTAAAAATGCAATTTTAGAAAAATAGTATTTTTATAGTATTGATAAAATGATAGTATTTTTAAAGAATTTTTTTTTTTGAGAGAGAAAGGGTTGAGGGATTTTGTCTTTCAGTATAGTTTACTTTTCTCTACATCTTTTTAAGCAAATCCAAAAGACCAAAAAATAGTATTTCTGGAAAATGGTCAGTCTATTGAAGGTATCACCAGCCCTCCAAACCTGTAAGATACTCCCATCTCTGGTAGAATCCTCATGGCAGTGGTTAGTGTGACTTAGCATTCATACCTGTTCACGTCATGGTTTAACCTGTGATGGAATTCATGTTCACCATATGAATCGTGCATTCAGAGTTAAATATGTATAATTGGTTGTCTTTATAATGTGGTCACTATGCAGATTGAAAAGTATCATTGGGTAATGTGCCCCCAGAAAGAGCCAGTATACAGTAAAAACATCATAGACGGGCCCTGTTCATCTTGACAACTCTGAGGTCATCTGATCATAGAACAGTAGAGTTGGAAGTCACCCTTAAGGTTATCTTGAATGAACCCCTCTCATTTCACAAGCGAGTAAAGGAGTTTCAGAGAGAGGTAAGTGTTTTGTTCAAGGCCCTAGTTAGCATAACAGGGAAAGATTATAGAGAGGAGTTAAGCCGCTTCTTTCCCACTACCATGGATTTCCCACCAGCAGGATGCATCTAATGTGAAATGGCATGAAAAACTAGTTACCAGAAAGTTGTGAAATCATTAACATTTAGTTCTGAGTTTGCTGGTCTTTCTCTGTTACCTCATTTTAGGCTTTCAGATTCCCTAATTCCCATTCGGTTACTCTTTTCTCAGTCTCACACTATGACTTTTAAAAATAAGCAAAGATGGCTTCCAGTCATTCCCACCTGTTAGAAGAAAAGGCATTTACACCAGTTTCTCATGGGTGCAAGTCAGAGGGAGCCTGTGCCCATAAGCTGTTTGACAAAGATTTGTACAAGGGAAGGATCTTGCTCAGACAATAGGAAATCTGTTTCAGGTAGGTCAGCACCAAAGCTCAAAGCAAACCTCAAGATTTATTTTGTGTGTCTTTTCTACTAAGATTCATTTTGTGTATCTTTTCTACTAACATTCAGTGATACGACTATAAAATTAGGAAGTGAATAATAGGCTAGAGAAAATCTGTACTCTGGGGGAAAAATTTTAAGCATATACTTTTCCCCTTAAATTTTTATCTGCAAAACTGATCTGTATAGTCCTAAATTCAGTATAAAGCCTTGTACTTCATGAGTAATTTAATGTATTGCAAATAGCAGACAGGGCTGGGGATGTGACTAGGTGGTAGCATGTTTCCCTAACATGCATGAGGCCCTGGGTTCCATTCCCAGCACTGTAAGAAAAAATAAATGTGTGTGTGGGTGGGCAGACAGTAGGGGCTATGGATCAGTAGTAGAGTGTAGAGTGAGAGGTACTAGTTTGATGCCTAATGCGGGGCAGGGGGGTGGAGGAGCAAAGCAAAATACTTAGGTTCAAATTATAGTGCCACCATTTTCTAATGGCAGACCCTAACTTCATCATTTGTGAACTAATACATGGTTTTCATTTTAGAACTACATGGGAGAAGAAAAAAGCCAAAATAAAATTGTGCCTAGCCTCTACCACCAAAAAATCTGACTATAATCCATCTGGGATTTTTAATCTTTTTTTTGGGGGGGGGTACCGGGACTGAAATCCAGGGGTGCTTAACCACTGAGTCACACCCAGCCCCCCCCCCCTTATTTTTTACTTAGGGGTGGGGTCTTGTTAAATTACTTTAGGGCCTTGTTTAGTTGCTGAGGCTGGCTTTAAACTGATGCTCTACTGATCCCAGCTTGGGATGGTATTTTCAAAAGCTCCCCAGGTGATTCTAGTGGGAAAGTAAGACCCAACAGCAGAATGTGTTGCAGAACTTTGCAAGTTTCAGTACTTCTTAATTCTGAGATTTTTGTGTCACCTAGT